GAACAGAAGAACTAGATGGTGCCTGGCTACCACTGCCTACTGGTCTCAAAGGGATTACAGTAAAAAGTCCTGGATATTGTAAGAGAAAAATGTATAACAAAACTCAAAATGATTAAAAAAAAAAAGAAGAAGAAGAAAAGTCTTATTGATCTCATAAAGACTGGTGGTATCCCTAAGACTATGGTTCTTCATCACCCTATTAAGTGAACAATAATGCCGGGGAAGTATACACTCTCTAGAACATATGAAATGAAATGATGGCATCTCCCCAAGGATAAAGCTGAGAAGGCAGGAAGGGATAGGAAAGAAGGACAAATGGAAATGGTAAACAGAGAGGAATTGGGAAGAGTGCTGTTACATTGTGGGGATTGCAGTCAGTGTCCCAAATCAAAATGTGTACAAATTACTGAGTCAAAAACTAATTTGTAAACTTTCACCCAAATCACAATAAAAAGTTTAAAAATGAAGGACTGAAGGATCAACAGCTACTTTAAAGCATAAATGAGGTTCATGGGTCCAGTGTGATGGATTGCTTTTATGTGGTCTTTCTTGCCATGGTCTTGGAGCTCCCACCAAATGGTTTGGTGGGACTATACAAATCAGGTGTTTGGCTCACCAGAGGCATTGGTTAGCTTGCAAATAATACAAATAATGTGCATGGAACATTGGTCATACTGGGACTATGAACATAAGGCATATAAAACCATAATGAGGGGATTGGTCAGTTTTGCTATCCCACTAGCCTGATAATGAGCCATTCCAAAGGCAAACAGAAGGGACCACTACCACTGAGAAGAAGAGATAGGGACAGAGTATGTCATTTGGATGCAGGGTCCCTCCATTGAAAGTCTCCTAGACTCCAGAGACAGCTTTAACACCAGAGACGGAGATGGTGAGAAGCAGCAGGACCAGGTAACTGGCACGAGATGGTGCAGTGGGCTCCCCAGCCCATAGAGTGAAAAAACTGAGCACCTTTGGGCAGGAGGCTTGCTGGTGGGGTAGGGTGCCTCCAGGCACTCGATGGAGCTAAGCTCAGCCACCCATGGAGCAAGAGAGCTGAGCTCCTTCAAACTTGGGCTTACCAGTGAGAAGTGTGGTGCCTCTGGGCTTTTATCAGTGAAGCTAAAGAGCTTTGTAACACTTATCCAAGAATCTTGGGTTTGTCCAATAGGCCCAAACAGGTGAGGACCAAGAGGCCAAAAGCCAGGGAAAGGCCTGCCTGTGGACACTGCCAAGAAGCTGTCCTAACTACAGAATTGTATCCTGAGTCTTTACTGATCCTGAATTATAACGTGTTACTTCCCTAATAAACCTTGTAACCACGAGTATTGTCTGTGAGTTCTGTGTGGCCATTGCAAGAAATCATCCACCCCAGCTGAGTGCCATGGGAGAAACTGCTGGGGTAAGAATTGGTAAAAAGTTGGAGGAACTCCATGCCACAGGAATCAACCTTGGGCTAATGCTTATGGTGATCCCCTCTCCCTCTCAAAGTTAGAGAAGGTAAGTGCCCCCATCATAGCATTTTTACAGGGGGCAGGGAAATTAAGTAAATGAAAGTAAAATAACTAGAATGAAATAAGAAGTGTTGACACAATGTGAAGAGTGTTACCAATGCCATTGATTAGTCCATCTGGAAACGAATGGGAGCAAATTTCACCAAAAATAAGATTTTAATTTGTTCTGGTTACCTAGTGCTGCTCTGACAAGAATATACCACGAATGGGATGGCTTGAACAAACAGGAGTTTATTGTCTTACAGTTCAGGAGGCTTTAAGTCCAAGTTCAAAGTGCCAGGCTCTAGGGGCTGGGTGAGCCCCTCAACCTTGGGGCCCAGCTCTGCCTCCTGCTCCCAGCCCACTGGAGCTAGAGGCGTTTCTTCACTCAGACAGCTACCAGCTGCTTGTCAAGGTTGACAAGTAAAAAAGCACAGTCCCAATGTTACCAAACCACAGACAGGCCATTAATTTAAGTCCATTTTAAGTCTCAAGGTCAGCAGAGCATGGCAGGCTGATGAACAACTTCACGGCCACATGGAGGGTCCCAGCATGCCATAGGCTAGAGACCATTCCCCAAGGCTTCTGCTTATATACAGGAAGCAGACCACATTCCCTAAGGCAGCTTACTCAGCTGCTCACAGTAGATTCCAACATGGAGTTGATTACCAGTCTCATCATGGGGAATACTACATCCAGCTGTCCAGCCATTCAACCAGGCTCAGCCAAGTTGACACACAAACTGAACTACCACATAATTTAAAAAAATATTAACTACAGGGAAAAAAAAATGTTAAGTAAAACCTTGTTGAGCACAATTCTGTTGTGACATAAATAGGGCACCATGAGTCAGAATTGACTCCAAAGGAGCATGTATTGTTTTTTAAATGCACTAAGCACTATGCTAGATGCTGGGAATATAATGTATCCCTGCCCTCAATTTAAAAAAACAAAACAAAAAAAAAAAGTGTGCTATGTAATGGACTAGAAACTCTAATACTGAATTTAAATCTTTTGTTAACTTTTTATTATGGAAAATTTTAATTATATATGAAAATTGGGTAATATTTTTTATGCTGCTGCTGATGTCTTGTTGAGTTGCTTCCAATTCATAGTTACCCTATCAGACAGAGTAGAACTGCCTCATAGGGTTTCCAAGGCTGTAAATCTTTACAGAAGCCAACCGCCACATCTTTCTCCTGCAGAGCAGCTGGTGGGTTTGAACCTTTGACCTTTCACTATTTTTCATGCTTTATTTTATATATATTGTACATATTATAAATATAGTACACCTTCTCCGCACTTACTGAGCTCATTATCCAAGACTTCACATTTACAACAATAGTAAAATATTTATTATCCAACTGTTTTTCTCATTAACAACATATGTCTAGCAAAGCAAACTCTGAGATAGTACGTGAGAGTAATGTTGGCTGTAATGGTTAATATCAACTTGAGTAGGCCATGATTCTCAGTGATTTGACAGTTATGTTATGTAATGATATAATTTGGTGGTGATGTAATGATGTAGTCATCCTCCATTTTGTGACCTCATGTCATCCTCCGTTTTTGCATAACATTGGTTTTCTCCTAACAGTGTGGTCTTTGGAACCTACACATGTCGATAAGTGAGGCGAGAGTGTATATATTTTATATACATATATGGGTACATATATGTGTACATATATGTGTATAAAATTTCAGACTTACAGAAAAGTTGTAAGAATAATACAAGGAATTGCCATTTTTCGTTTCTCCAGATTTGCTAGTTTATTTTGCTTTATCATTCTATATCTTCTTTTCTTTCCTGGACTGTTTTAAGAGTACATCAGAGACACGCCCCTTTACCACTAAGTATTTCATTGTATATTTCTTAAGAATTAGGACGTTTTCTTACTAAGGGCAGCACAATGATCAAAATTGGGAAATTTAATATTGATAGAGTATATACTGTTAACTAATTCCTTTTCAGTATTCCGATTTTTCAGTTATTCCAGTTAAGTCTTTCATAGCGTTTTTCCCCCAGTGTGAGATCCAATTCATGATCACACAGTGCACTGAGTTGTCATATATCTTTTAACTAGAAGTTTCTTACCTTTACTTTTGTGTATCCACCACGATATTTTCTAAAGCATATGAGCCAATTATTTTGTAGACCGTCCCATATTTTGTTTGGCTAATGTTTCTTCATAATTCATTTATAGTAGGAATTCCATGTTGTTTGTTGTTATGTGCCCTCAAGGCAGACCCGACTCATAGCGACCCCTCCTTGGGTTTCCCAGGCGGTATCACTATGGAAGTAGATTGCCCAACCTTCCTTCTGTAGTAGTGATAAAAACCAAACTTACTGCCAAGTCGACTCCATCTCATGGCAACCCCCTTTGGGTTTCCAAGGAGGTAAATCTTTACAGAAGTAGATTGCTCAGTCTTCCTTCCACAAAGGACTGGCAGGTTTGAACTGCCAACCTTCTGGTTAGCAGTCAAATACCTTAGGCCACCACTCCACCAGAGCTCCTTATAGGAATGATGATGTCAGTTAATTCCAGTAGTTGTGTTAGATTCCATGACTTAGTTAGGTAAGGCCAGTCAAGTTACTCCTTTTCCCTTTGTATTTAATCTGTAATTGAATATTTTACATACTTTGAAACTAAATTATTCAGCTGTCTGAAAGAGTCAGTCTGCCTATATTTTATTTACTGCCAGGATTATGACAATTACAAAAAAAAATCATTAATTATAGTTCTCAATGTTGCTTTGCTTTTTCCTTTTTTTTTTTTTTTTTAATATGTGAAAAGTATTATCTTGCTCGTGGTTTTCAGCTTTTCTTTTTATTGTGCTGTTCATTGTTGAAAAGGCAAGTGATTATTCAGTTGACTGCAGGAATTAGACTGAATTTGTTTAGTTATAGTGGAGCACTTATGACACCGTCCCTGCTGATGTGCCCAGGCCTGATGAGTTAGAAATCTGTGTTGTGTGGAGATTTTTGGTGCATATTCTCATCAAATGAATGTTAATTATGCTTTTTCCCCTCCTCACTTCTCATGCCATAATATCCTGGCTTTACAGAGTCTTTGAAGTACCTTGCCTGTTGACATGCAACTCCTAGGCTTAATTTTAATGTGTCTTAGCAGGGAAGGTGTTTGTGTAGAATTTCTTTTCTCAGTAATGTAAATAAGATATTGCCATTAGGTTACTGACATTGAAGACAGTAGACTTTTATAAAACAGTTTTTATGCATTCCTCATCAAAAAAAAAGCAAAGCAATGACTATGACAGAGCATATTTTGTTCTCTATTTTGTTTTGTTATCATGGCTTTTGTAGGAGTCTGAGGGAAATGCACCAAGTCACTACCAGCAGGGTTTTATTTGTTTGTTTTTTAATTGACATTTACCAATGAGATAATTTTAGAAACAGGAAATTGGTTTATTTACAGTGAGTCTTTAGAAGGCATAGGTTTTTAAGGAAAATGTCTCTGAAAAACATGAGTGACAGATGGTTTGTTTCAGGTACTGAACAGTACAGTGATTACACAGGCTATGCTGAAACATACCGCTGGGCCCGAAATCATGAAGATGGGAGTGAGAGGTGAGTTGTGGCTGACCCTAGTACTGCATCGCTATTAGACAAGGAAGGTACACTTGGCCCTGGATATACTCTATCTACATCTGTTCTTACTTCAGCCATTGAACTTTTTAAAACTCAAATTATAGGTTCACTGTTAGTTAAAGCAATATAATCCTCTCCATATACCAAACCAAAAACCAGACTCACTACCATCAAGTTGATTCCAACTCTTAGTGCCCTTCAAGGGTTTCCAAAGCTATAAATCTTTATGGAATCAGACTGCCTCATCTTTCTTCCATGGAGTGGCTGGTGGTGTTCAAACCACTGACCTTTTTTCTGGTTAGCAGCCAAATGCCTTAACCACTGCACCAGCGCTCCTTATCCATATACCAAAGGGAAGATAAAAACCAAAAACCTACTTCAATTAGCTTATAAGGGCAGAGCTCTTTACACAGTTCTTAACCTCTAAGCTGACCGTTTTAAACTGGCAATTAACTTCCAAATCTAATTAGAATAGGCTCTATTTAGAACTATTAGATTATGTAGATGAAAGAAACCTATATTGGGACAATTTGGGTAATGCCACAAACCAACTGACAACAGAACCTGCAGTGAGCATTGCTGCTGCCATCTTCTACCTCTTATTGAAATACATTTTTATACTTCTGACTTTATTGCTTCTACATTAAATTTTGTACTTTATTAGAAGTAAATTTTTTCAGAAATGCTGCCTGAAAGTTTGTTTTTATGCCATAGTGGCAGAAAGAATCAGGTATTCTCCGTGTAACCTTATCTGTGCCACAGACTTATTTTTTGTAATGTCTTAAGTTCAACCTTTGGTTTCTTTCTTCCTTTAGTTTGTTTAAAATATATAGTTGCAGCAAACAATTACTTACATGGATGTTTGTTCCTAGTAATACTTTACAGACTAACATGAAAGTGTCTACTACTATTCTTCAATGTAAAAAATTGCTTGGCATGTTAGTATATGAAAGTTAATGAAGGGCTGAAATATTTGGAATTTCACGTTTCCAAAATCGTCACTTCAACTAGACCTTCCTATTTCCACAGACAATGTGTTTTTGTCTGCTGTGCTGTCTTCATTATTTATTTATTTTTTTTTACATAGTTAATAGTTTTTCACAGTTGGTGGTTGAGCACAGTAGGTAGAATGTTGTACTGAGTCATTACACATTCTTTCTAACATTTCTTGGAATCATTTCCAGGACAATATGTAGTGATGTCACAAACCCAGTGAGTTGGAGCAGCTCTCTCAAAGCAGAGGAATGAGCTCTTGTTGAGACACAAACGCCGTATCTTTAGTATCAAAGGAAAACTGGGAACTAAGTGGCTTTTGTTTGCCCCCAAATCCTTTAACCTCTGAGACTCACTGTAAATTATATACCTGTGTCAGCATGTCATATTGTGTTACCTCTTGATAATTTTTCATTTACTATTTCATACCTGACAGTCCACAGCATATGCCTCTGAATCTAAAATTAAATGGTATTTCCAGCCCTTCTGTTTTATGAGACCTGTACACACTGGTTTGTTAGCTTCTTTCTTTTAATACACCTTAACATTCCATTCTTTCTAACACTGCCACAGTCTCAAAAAATGAAGCCCTATGAGAATGCTATTGTTGTTAGGAGCTTCACCCATTCCTTGTCTTTCTCCTCTCTCTATCCTGTCCAGGGACGACTGGCAGAGGCGCTGCACTGAGATTGTTGCCATTGATGCACTTCACTTCAGACGCTACCTCGATCAGTTTGTGCCTGAGAAAATCAGACGTGAGCTTAACAAGGCCAGTAACCTTATTTCTTATTTCCTCTGGCAGCTGTCATCTGTGTACTGCCATTTTATTAATACTGAAATTAATGCTTTCTGGTCATTCTTGCAGTGTCAATAAGTCTGCCAACAGCTCTCCTGATTTAATGGCTGTGTCAGCTTGTACAAGATGTACTTTCCATTTCGTAATTGTTTGATTACTGGCCGAGGCTGCCAGATTTACTGCTGCTTGATATTAAACCCCACACATACATTTATCTCATCAAGTACTTTTAGCTGCTTTTGAACATTATCATTTTAAAACCATATAGAAATGAATGAACTCTGATAATTTTTTTCAGACCTGCCCAACATTTTTACTAAAAGATACAGTTATCAGGAGTAATACAGATTAAATTTAAAAAGTCAGGCTAATACTGTTCTATTATAGTTAAAATTCACAGATACTAGAAAGAAATGTAAATTTTTTATTGATTTGGTGATTTGATATATTTATGATAGAATCTAATTTTCTGTGATACATAGTGCTAATATAATCATTCTTTTTTTTAATTGTATAATAGAAATGTAAAAATGAGCCGTACCTATTGTTAGTTCATATTTTCACTGGTGTTAACCACAGTAAATGAACTCTGTCATAAAATAGAGTGTGGATTTTGGGCTTTGCCAAAACATTTGAGGTGTTTGTTTTTTGTTTTTTCGGTTCTTCAAATCTCTCACAAACAAAGGGATTGAAAACCATTGTTTAACTCCCACGAGTAGGATTTGGTTATGAGATACTATTAAGATGAGGTTTGTGGTTTTGCATGGCTACCCATGTGTCAGTCCCTATACAAAGACTTTGATGATGACAGCAGATTGGAGTGTACCACTGCAAGGGGTTGCCGGCACCCTCTGGTCGGCGTCTGACAGTAAATGCATTATCCTTCACATCTTCCCTTTGGTTTTTACAAGAGTAACCTGTCTGTGGTGCTCTGCTTATCCCAGCTCAGCAGCCTTGCCTTGTATGCTAGTCAAGTAAACAATCAAGTAATATAAAAAGACTTTTAATACACTTAAAATTTAGTAGGTATTTTAAATATAATGATATATTATCATATTTTAATCCATTTGAGAATCTAATTTATTGTTGAGCATGCTTTCTAATATATAATTTATTAGATTCTTTTAATGTTTGGAGTTCTCAAAGAGATATCATAAAAATTTTGAAGAAGAATATACTATTTTCCAATGTTGAACTTACATATAACAGACATATTTTACTTAAAAAAAAAAAATAATAATTCCTCAGGAAAGCTGTCCAGAAACGTGTTCTTATATCAGTTTGAGATTTCACTCTCTTACCTGACTCTGAAAGTCAGAGATTTGCCTAGACAGAAGAATATTTTTACTAGTAATTGGGTACATTTTAAGTGCAGGCCTGCTTTCAGTATTCCAGAGCTCTTGCCTTAAAGACATGGATTGTCTACAAACCCATGATGTATTTGTGCCTACGGCATTTGACTGCTAACCAGAAGGCTGGCGGTTCAAACCCACCAGCATTTCTCAGAAGGAAGACTGGGCAATCTACTTCGGTAGAGATACTGCCTCAGAATCCCAAGGAGGGGTCGCTATGAGTCAGAACTGACTCAAGGGCAGTAACTTTTGTTTTTTGTGGTTTTTTTAAAGCATATCAAATAGCATAAGATTATCTTTAGATTTTCACTAGGTGTTATATACATATTTATTTATAAATAAAATTATGTTTTAGGTGAAAATTTACATAGCATATTAGGTTCCCATTTACCAGTTTTTATACAGGTTGTTACAGGACATAGGTTATAATTTTCACAATGCATCAGTGTTCTCATTATTTCCATTCTGTTTCCATTCATCTATCTTCTCTTCCCTTCCTTGCTTTCTTATCTTTGCTTTAGGGTAAATGTTGACCATTTGGTCTCATACAGTTGATTGTTTAAGAGAGCACATTACTCACAGGTGATACTGTTTATTTTATAATGTATTAACTTTTTAAGCACATGTGAAATTTTCACATGGCCATGAATATTAGAAGACATTTACATTAGCAGTAGGTAGTTTGGAGAGAAATACAAGAAAAGGAAAATAAATACATGTTTTTTCATAGTCACACATTACACAGATTTTAAGGATTTTTTCTTTCATGGACAAAGTCTATATTCCTTCATGTATCTCTCAATGGAAGCTCGATCATTTGCTTTTATATATTATCCTCAATTATGATCTTTTTAAAAGATAATCTTTGGGCATAAATAAATCTTTTAATTTTTAATTCTTCATGATCATCTGATGTTCTATACATTATTTGTATAGCACTAACACGGCAAATAACAACAACAACTTTCAATTACCTGCCCTCAGAGATATAAGGCTTTTTGAAAACTTGAAGCCTTGATATGTGTGAATAGGTTAAATTAATTGTAAGTATAACAATATTGAAAAATACTGGTTTGTGGAATGTAGAGTCTATGATGCGTACTTTATACAAAAAGAATGAGTCATTAATTAACCTAGCAAGAGAAGACACTTTATCACATTTTAGTAGTCAGTGACTAGAACACTGCCTGGCTTATAGGAGCTTCTCAAAAATATTTAAGTGAATCGGTCAGTGATTAATTAAATAACTTCCCAGACAATGCTAACACAGTTCTTAAGATAAACTCTTTAGAAATTATATAAGTACATTATCTCATATCACTCACATGTTACAAGTTGTTTGGTTGTTCCTGTTAGTCAGTAAAAGGACCCTATTGGTGCAATGGTTAAGCATTCATCTGCTAACCAAAAATTTAGCAGTTCAGACCAGCAGCTTTATGGGAGAAAAGATCTGGGAATCTACTGCCATATATATCACAGCCTAGGAAACCTAGTTCTACTCTGTCCTGTAAGGTTGCTGATTCATAATTGACTCAACGACATACCACAACAACATTCTTCAAGTCCCAAATAAACCATTTAAGTCCAGTGTCAAATCAAGTGTAGAAACAGATGAAACCATTCTGAAGCAAATGGGTTGATCTTTAATGTATAATAGTGCAATTCAGTATTTCTTTTCAGCCTGCTATCATTTATGCCAGTATGCAGTTAAGTCTTAATTGATAATTCTTAAAAGATTATTTTCAGATAACAGAGGTAGATTTTTGGGGTTTTTTGATTATAAAAGTAACAATAGTAAAAATAATTGCTGTCATTAAATGATTGTTTACCGGATCTGGCACTCTACTTAGTATTTTAAATGCGTTGTCTGAGTTAATCCTGACCACCCAGTGAGGTGTAGATACTGTTCTTATTTCAAATTTAGAGAGACTCAGTTTATTCAGTTGAGCTTTAGGAAGTTGGGTAGCTTGCCCAAGGTTACACATCTAGACAGTGATAAAGCCAGGATTTGAATTTAGGTCAACCTAACTTCCAGACTTTTTACCAAGTTCAATCAAATCATTGAGGATATTTCCTACATTTGGTCAACACATGATCTCCTACAAACATATTCCTTGGCCACTTCTTTTCTTTTTAATTATATTCTTCACTGTAAACAAAGGTGCATGTTGAATGCTCTACTCAGTATCTTTCTGTTTGAACCCTAGGTTCAGAAGATACTCTTTCTTAAAGAAATTTGTAGGTTTTTCCCCAGGTCTGTTTATTAAATTCCCATGAGAGAAGTAAATATTACAGGGGGTACGCACCCTTATTAAACACATGGGCTAACACTGAGGAAGCACCTAGTTCAGGACTTGGCACATAGGAAGGCATTTGATAAGTGTGTGTCCTTTCATTTATTGCTCTATTCCCCCCAAAATCGTTCTTATAGCAAAGAATTTGTTTTCTAATTTTTTTACTGAAAAAGAAGAAAGCAATAAATGGTTTTTGTTAAATGTTATTGACAACTTAATTAGAAAACTAATTCAGACACATTGGACCTTTTAGATTATTCTGTCATTTATTAGTTACATTTACCTATTAAAGTAGATTTATGAATTTTAGTACAAGCAACAGGGAGTTTTACCTGAGCTGACAGCACAACGTGGAGAGAATACTAAATTAAATGTTTCATGTTTCATGTCTTACTGTGTTCTGTAAATGTAGGTTTAAAGCAGAAGTCTGTGTTAAATCTCATTAGAGATGACTTGCATAATTCTTTTTTTCTTTTGCATGCTAGATCGAAGGTGGCTAGGAATAGAAAAAAACTGCATTTTCTAAATGAAGCAACAGAGTGTTAAGACTAATTTGACCATCAGGAATTCAGTATGGATTTCCGAGCTCTAGAGGGCCCTATTTGCTGCTTTTGGCCATTAGTCACTAGATAATAATTGAAGGGGCAATCCCACGAAAGAAGTGCTTTATGTTCTTTTGAAAGAGTCAACTTCATCCAGGCTCTATCTAGCCTCTTGGACCCACATCGTGACTTGCAAGTAGAATTGGTTTTTAAAAGGGAGGGATCAGTCTCCTTTTACCTAACTGATATTGTGAAAAGATGTTTAATCCTGTGAGAGATAGCTAGGTGACATTCTAGATGAGAATTATCTTTGTGGTTGGAAAGATTTATGACTCCAGACTGCAAAAGTGGCATACAGTTCTGCACAGGAAGAAAGAAAGCAGCTGTGAAAAGCTGTGTTTATCCATGTTAGGCTCATTCAGGTAATATTAAATAATGAATATATTTCACAGAGACTTCTGGACCAGAATGGAACAATGTGGTGATACTTGGAGAGAGACCCTGGAGAGAATCACTACCATTTGCTTTATTTTAAATTGATCTGTTGTTATTCAAAAAACTGTTGTTATTACCCACCCCAAATTTGGAAAGGGGTTGTTACTATACCAGAGCTTGATAACAAAGCCAGTTAATACTTGCTGATATTTCTAAGTTCAACAGTTAATCATTTATAATATTTCTTAAAGTATGTGTAACTTCAATTTTCAGATTTGGTTGTCCCTTTAAAGGGGATTAAGAGGAGCTTACTGATTCACTCTGTCTTATTTATGACCTTAGAAATGCTTGCTTTTAGCAGAGAAAAAGATTTTGTGTTTAACTGTTTTAACCACTTTTTGTTTATACCTCATTACCATGCAATCATTTATATCAGCTATTTCTATTTGATTATTTTTTTTTTTACAGTTTGATTTGATTTGAACACTATAACGTAATTTCAGTTTTGTATTTTGTTTTTGTTATGGCCATTTTTTCAAGAAAATTGGTTAATACTTTGTATTTGATTTTGTTTCACATAATTCTCCATTTTTAGGCTTGTTTCATTAACCTACTTTTTCTCATTGAGTTGAAGTTAGCCCAGTTGTTTAGAGACAATAGTGAGGAAAATGGTAAAAAAAAAAAAAAAAATTTAATGGTGTGATGCAGAGACATGAGATAGGAGGTTAAGAAAGCTTTCTCTTCATCCAAACAAGTTAGAAGAGCTTGACAGGAAATGAAGTGGCAAAGTTATGTCTACTCTGACAGCAAGTTTGTTATCTTCCTTGTGGACATTATGGTAGCGACACTTTCTCTTTGAAGAACTGCTCAAAAAAATTGAGCTTTCTGTTATTTTTGACCTGAGATTTTCAGAAGCTCCATGCATCTGATTATGCAGGTAATTTGTGAGTTCTTGTGTAAGCTTGTACCACAAGCGTTGAATAATGGTCTGGTACCAACTTACAATTAGTATCTGTCAGTATTTAGAGTCTAGGAGGGGGTGGAAGGAATAGCCTTGTTAATCCATCCAGACAGTGTATAAAATAAATTTTTATACCTTTGTGGAAAATTCAGAGAGCAATTTACTATGTTTCTGTGTGGATTTCATAGAAGCACCTTTCTTTTCTCTTTGGTTTTTCCCTGGGAACATTTGACACAGATCATTCTTTTTATTTTATTTACTATTTTACATAGCTATATTTTAGGCTTTATTTGGTTCTTGAGAGAACTCAGGGGAGATTTGCTTTGCTATTATATTAAACCTTTTAATATAGTCTGATGATAGTTTCAGAAAACTGAGAACCCTTAGGGGGCAGAAAAGCCAACTTGGCTGACAACAAAGAAATGGAAATCAGAAACTTTGGGACCATAAACTAATACATAAAAGCAGCTGTTCATGTAATTAATACTTAGCCAGCATCCTTGGGATACATTGTACTTTTCTCAGGTTACTGGCGAATTTTTTTAATATTCTAGCTTAAAATAGAGTTGTGAAACTAGAGGCTCTTAGAGCTGGAAAAAGATCTGAAGGTTCTTTTTCACCTGGTGTAGGAATCCTTTTTATAGGTGGCTGTTTGCTCTTTGTTAAGCATTTCAGTTTTAGGAAGCACATTTAAAAGCTAATCACAGTTATTAATCTAGTTCCAATAATTCAGAGAAAGAGAGTGCTGAGAAAGCATACCACTAATTCTTTACCTTGATGAAAAAAATGGTCATCAAAAGCCTTCAAAGACAACAGTATTCTAACAAGTGACTTTCTTCCATCTTAGGTCATGGACATGGTTGTTGGGATCATATGAATTCTTGAACTATTTCTGATATTTCTGTTTATGTTTGTTTGAATTGGAAAAAGAAATTAAGACATGTATTGGTTTAAGGTATTTAATTTACCCAGCATCAAAACAAATATATATTAGAATCTATCATTTCTTACTCTCATTCTTGTACAATCCAGGCTTTTCTCTCTCTCTATTTTTCCCTCTCCTTTGGCCCTGAAGAAAAAAAAAGAGAGAGAGATAGGCTTGATAATAGATCCTGATCCTAGAGCATCAGTCAGAAACATTGCTACTGTCTGGTCACTCATGTGCTTTGGTATTTCTTTATCCTTCAGGCTTACTGTGGGTTTGTCCGTCCTGGAGTTTCTTCAGAGAACCTTTCTGCAGTGGCCACAGGAAACTGGGGCTGTGGTGCCTTTGGGGGTGATTCTAGATTAAAAGGTGAGTGAGTTACTGTAGAGAGGATAATAGCATTTTTACTAGAGAAAAAAACTCAGTCCTTCAAACCAAATTTCCAATGTCTTATCATAATATTATACCAAAAAGAATATTTGATATTGCCCTTTCTCTTTCTTATGTATGGTGCTGTGACAGTTTAGATTGAGAGAGGTAGTGGTTGCAGGTCAGGAAGCATTTGCTTGTTTATGGTGAAGAGTCACAAAATCTGATCAACAAAACTATTGGCCATCTACCAGATTATGACATTTCTTTACTTTTGAAACCATCACTTATAGAAAATAGTGTTATAACATTGCTTTGGAATGGTTACCAAAGTAGCAGTTAAACAATAAAAGCAAACATAAAACAGCCAGCTGATCTTGATAGCCAAACTAGATAAAGATAAAATCTAGCTCATTATTAGGACTAGGACAGTTAAGTCCATCATAATGTAAATCCTCTCTCCCTTCTCCTGAAAAAGCATTTTATTATTTTTATAAAAATGGTACTTTTTTTTTTTTTTCAAATCCAGAAAAATACCATGTGAAATTCATCAGAATTCACTGTTAAGTTTCTTGGTGGGCATCCTTTCAGATATCTCTGTAATCATTTGACATTAATGAGATCGCACCATATATTCTATTCTCTTACTTCCTCTTTCTGAAAACCCTAGTTTCATGGATAGCTTTTACAACCAAGAAATGTAGATCTAGTGTCAACATTTTTTAATAGCTACATGGTATTCTAATACAGTTACATATATATTACTCGGTTGTTTCCTTTATATTATATTTTAATTACACTGGTGCAATTACCTATAGGTTACTTATCTCCTTAGGGTAAATTCGGGAGCTTTGGTGGCATAGTGCCTAAGGCATTTGACTACTAACCAGAAGGCTGATGTTCAGACCCACCAGCCACTCCTCAGAAGGAAGGTTGGGCAATCTACTTCTGTAGTGATACCTCCTGAAACCCAAGGAGGGGTTGCTATGAGTCAGATCTGACTCTACGGCAGTGAGTTTGGTTGGTTTTGGGTTAGAGTAAATTCCTATAAGTAAATGAATGGATGAAAGTTTACATACCGTTTACATTTTGATAAACCAGAAAAACAGTTATCATCAAGTTTATCCCAACTCATAGGGATCCTATGTGTATCATAGAAGAACTGTGCTCCATTGGGTTTTCCATGGCTGATTTTTGAGGTACCTCTGGGTGAACTCAAACCACCAGCCTCATGGTTAGCAGTAAGACATTAACTGTTAGCTCCACTCAGGGACTCCTTTATGTTTTTATACTGGTTGTAAATTGCTCTTCTGAAAAGCTGTATCAGTTTACCTTCACTTCCCTGCTTGAGCACCAAGCAATGTCACCAAGATGGGATTTTAAAATGTCTCTAAAGTTTAATAATTTTCATTCATTTATTCACCATTTTTATTTGTTTAGAAAATTGCTTTTACACTTCTTCTGTCCATTTATCTCCTTGGGTATAGTTCTGATTTTTCATTGGCTAACTCTGGGAGCTCTGGTAGCATAGTGCCTAAGGCACTTGACTGCTAACCAGAAGGCTGGCAGTTCAAACCCACCAGCCACTCCTCGGAAGGAAGGTTGGGCAATCTACTTCCGTAGTGATACCTCCTCAGCAACCCAAGAAGGGGTCGCTATGAGTCGGGTCCGACTTGATGGCACATAACAACAACAACATTAATAACTCTATATATTAATAAAATGTGAACCGTTTGACTGTCATATAGTGCAGGTATTTTTCTCAGTTTTGTTTTTCATTTATTTCAACCCTGTTGGTTTATTATCATACAGAGTTCATTTTTATGTGTTCAGATTTTTATGGCTTGCTTAGAAAAATCTTTCCTATCCCCTTATTCTAAAGACTTTCACCCATATTTCCTTCAAGTTCAAAAATGAAAACTGCATGGTGCTGCTTTCCTCTGTTATTTGAATATCTCTAAAAGCTCTGGTGGCATACTGGTTAAAGCATTCAGCTGCTAGCCAAAAGGTCAAAGGTTCAAAGCCACCAGCCGCTCCACTTTGCCTTTACAAGGCATTCTGCTTCTGTAAAGATTTATAGACTTGGAAACCCTATGGGACAGTTTACTCTGTCCAGGTTGCTATGAGTTGGAATTGACTCGATGGCAGTGGGGTTTTTTAATAAAAGAATTTCTAGTTTTTATTTTATGAAATTCTCTTATCATCCTGAATTTGTTTGAGGAAATCTGTTTTTTACTCTGGGCTTATTGATCATACGACAGACATTTTTTTCTGTTTTCATCTTAAATAAAATGAATGACTAGATTCATGTCATCAATCCTGAAACCAAGGCTGCCATCAGCCTTGGTCCTTCTTGATGGACAATTTAGGAAGCTTTATAAATGTATTGGTTTCTTTTCTTTGTTTTATAACATAAAAACCTTTCAGACTGCAGCCTTGCTTCCTCCAGTGACTATCAAGCAAAATCAAAGATTCCTTTTCTCAATTATTGAGATTTTTTAAAATTTAGGAGTGGGTGTTTGACTTCTCCCTCCCCTTTATTACCTGAATATTCATTAAAAAATTAGAAGCAATCATAATGTTCTTCAATGGAGGAATGGTTACTGAAATTGTGATTTTGAAAAGAAAGAAAGTATAGTGTATCTGTGTAATAGAATATAGCCATTAAATACCATTATAGGAATATATATTTGTTGGCAAGGAAGAATGTTCTTGGAACAACCAGGTGGGGGAGAAAACACCATATATGTCATATGAACCACTTTTAAAATTCAGTTATGAATATATATATAAAATTACACACACAAATTTGACGTTTTCTACGTTTATTTATATGTAAATGACACACACATTACATGATTTTGCCAACCACACAGACACACACATCCCACCACCTGTGTGCATGTGATTTTCATAAGGATTTTGTGTGTGAGCATGTTATTTGTGAAAAACTATATACAAAGATTAACTATGGTTTTTGCTACATAGGTGGTATGTTGTTGTCATGTGCCTCGAGTCGGACCCAACTCATAGTGACCCTCTTTGGGTTTCTGAGGCAGTATCACTACGGAATTATATAGGTGTTCTTTTTATCTGTATTATTCTGCATTAAGCATATACTGTTTTTGTAACAAAAAAAAATTCAAGCAAGAACTTAATGGTGCCTGGCAACCACTACTAACCACTGTGACCAGGACCACGTAGAAAGTCCTGATTAGAATGGGTAAAAAGTAGAGAACAAAATTCACATTAAAAAAAAAAAAAAAGTCCACATCTGAAAGAGACTGGAGGAACCCCAAGACTCTTGTCCTAGGACAGCCTTCTAACTTGAAACTGAATATACTCCTGGAGGCCTCCTTTCAGCCAAATAATTGCTGAGCCTATAAAATAAATAACAATACCCATGAAGAATGTGTTCCTTAGAGCAATCAATTATATGAGCCCAAAAGGGCAGTATTTGCCCAAAATCAAAGATGAGGAGTCAGGGAGGGACAGGGAAACTAGAGGAATGGAAACACAACTCAGGATGGAAATTGATAGAGTGCTGACACATTGCAGGGATGGCAACCAATGTTATAGAACTGTTTATGTATGAATTAGTTGTTGGAAAACTGATTTACTATGTAAACTTTCACCTAAAGCATAATAAAATGTTCAAAAAAATTTTTTTTCATGGAAGGGGAACATGGACATGTGTAAATACTTAAATTTATATTTCTTTTATTAGAAATAGGGCCATACATGTTTTCATGTGCTTCTTGTACATGAGTTTTGCTATTTAAAAACAATTTTGTTTTTATAATTGTTACATTATTTTGACATTAATTATACATCATTTTGACAACTATTAAGAGAATGTTATCTATATATTTATTCATTCAGCAGACATTTATTGACAACTTTATATTGTAGATGCTATGCTAGACATAAAACTTTAGAATCATTATCCAGACTAAGATACCACATATTTCTATTTTTTCATGTTCTCTTATATTTTACTTACTTATAATTAGCATGTACATGCAATTAGCATGTAATTTTGTATTCAGATTTATATAACATTATAAATATTTATTTTATATATCACCATACTGTTCATATTATTCCATTTAGTTGATACACTCTACTGACTTAACTATTACCACATTTTTATATACTTATCCATTTTCTGATTATTTTTTTATTGAGTCAAAAGTGTATAATTGTTAAAAAAAAAAAAAGTGGACTCGTGAGCTACACTCCTGGTTTTGAATTCCAGTTCTGCCATTTACAAGCTTTGTGACCTTGTGTGAATTATTTAAGCTCTCTGTTCCTTCATTTCCTCATCTGTAAAATGAGAATAAAAAGAATAATCCTTTTATAAGATCATATGAGTTCATTCATGTAGAATAGGGTTTCCCAACCTTGGCACCATTGACATTTTAGGTGTGATGATTCTTCATTGAAAGAGCATCCCTAGCCTCTGAGCCCTGATACCAGTAGCATCCCCCACTTTCCCAAGTTGTGACAACAACAAAAAAGTCTCCAGACATTGCCAGATGTCTTTGGAGGGGCAAAATCACCCATAGTGGAGAACCATTGATTTAAGAGTAGAGCCTGGCACAATGTGAGCACTCAGTAAATGTTGTATGCTGTTTAGTCGATTCTGATGCATAGCAACCCTAAGAGTAGAACTGCCCCAAAGGGTTTCCTAGGCTGTAATCTTTATGGATGCACATTGCCAAGTCTTTCTCCCATGGAGCTGCTGCTGCATTCAAACTGCCAACTTTTCAATTACCAGCTGAGCCCTTAACTGTTACACTGCCAGGGCTTCTTCAATAACTGTTAATTATTATAAATTTATGCTTTTGTATGGTAGTGTTATAGTTGATAGATTATTTTTCTTTTAAAAAATTATTTACTCAGGATATTTTAAAAGGATTACCAAATGAAATGTTTCTGACCCTCAAGAAAGATTGTCAAGTTGCTTTCCAGAAGTATTGTGCTAATTTGCAGTGGAA